AGTAGAAACACCTAATCTAGAGGTTTTCAACCCTGTTCCTCATGACCCAACTGTCCTGCATGTTTTAGATGTTTCCCTATTTCAGCATGCGTGACTGAAATGAATGAGAGATTGACAGACTTCTGCTAAACTTGATAACCCTCTGAGTTTCATTATTTGAGCCAAGTGTGCCAAAGTAGTAGCCTTGCCCTTGCCTTCCTATGCAGTTCTGCTCAATTCTAGTTTTGCTTCACTGCTCCGTCAGGGATTTCTCCCATAGACAAGGATTTCTTTGGGAGAATTTTCATTCCGGCCAATCAGAGAACAGAACATCAATTTTCTGTGCAGTGTCTGCTTGTAGTTTATTTCACCTGGGCCAATCAGCAAACAGAAGGCAGAGTTTTGAACAACGTCAATTTTCTGCTTAGTGTCTGCTGGTTAGTTTAGCATGCAGCAGTGGAGGAAGTGAATGAAGCCAGTCCGTGTTGATAAGGCTTCCAAATTAAATTAAATTTGTCTGACAAAGCAGCAGCTCTCATTTACAGTCATCTCGTTCGGCTCGGTACTTTTCTCCTCTCAGTAGGGTTGTTTACAGTGCACGCAATTTCCGGTTAGCTTCTTAGCTTAGCCTCCTTTACAGCGACATACGTCGCGGCCAACCGATCCAATCATTTAAAACTTCAGCAGAGGCCACACCTCTAGCAAGAATCGCTTCTCTATAGCCGCGAGTCCAGACCCCCATATGAAGCAAAGTGAAGGACAAGGGTCTGGTTTTTACCAGGGTACCAAAGCAGGGAAAAAAACATGCAGGAAGAATAGGGTTTAAGATCTCTGACCTGAATGTATTTTTTATATATATACTGTAATAAATACACTTAAGCTAAACAGAATGTGAATTAATTAAACTGCTCTTTTCTCATGACCTGATATGATTTTCCAGGAACTAAAGCTCAGTGTGAACACTTTTCTTTTCTAAAAACAACAACAACAACAACAACAACAACAAACAACAACAACAACAACAACAACAACAACAACAACAACAACAGCTAACTCAAAAACCTGTGTAACTTAGCTTTCCTATTGATGCAAATTTTAATTGGGGTCTGGTCCACTCTTAGCCTGGCCCTTGCCTTCTTACTCAGCTCAGCTCAATTCTAGTTTCCCTTCACTGCTCCGTCTTGGACTTCTCCCATTGACAAGGATTTCACTGGCAGATTTTTAGCCGGGCCAATCAGAGAAGAGAACGTTAATTTTCTACACAGTGTCTGCTTGTAGTTKATTTYACCTGGACCAATCAGCAAATAGAAGGCAGAGTTTTGAATGACGKTGRTGTTCTGCKCAGTGTCTGCTAGTTATTTTAGCATACGGCAGTGGAGGAAGTGAATGAAGYCAGTCCGTGTTGATAAGGCTTCCAAATTAAATTAAATGTGTCTGACAAAGCAGCAGCTCTCATTTATGGTGCGTTCACACCGAACGCGATTTCAGCGTCAGGAGCAGCAGGTTTACATGCAAAGTCTATGGTGGACGCGCTTCAAGCAACGTCGGGAAGTGCTGCGACGCCTCAAGCGCGATTAGAGCAGCGCGATTTGAACGATTTGAACAATCTGAGCGTTCGACACGCTGAGGCGCAAATCGCTGAAGTTAGAAAATCTGAACTTTTGCAGCTCGACGCGCCACGTCAACCAATCAGAGAGACTCCACTGTGTGACGTAGCAACATATTTCCTGACGGGACAGTTTACTGAATGATGTCCACTAACCTGAAACAGATGGAGCGGAGCTCTTTAGCTGAAATGAGTGCTGCAGTCGTGTCCTGATCCGCAGCAATGCGTGACAGCGACTCATCAGACTGAAAAAAATAGTCCTGAAAGCGAGCTGTGAGCCTCTACTCTGAATTATCTGGTGAATTAATTATGAATTAATTATCTGATGAACGTGACATGCTCTGGCTCTCTGTAAATAAAGCAAAGCCACTTCCTCGTCCTACACATTAAACAGCCCCACAGAGGAGGGAGGGGCGGGGAGACTCTGCCGTGCAGCGCATCTGACCTGCGTCTGACCTCAAAGTGCACAAGCTTCAAACTTCAGCGTTGGCTGCGATTTTGACGCTGAAATCGCATTCGGTGTGAACGCACCATTACAGTTGTCTTGTTTGGCTCGGTATATTTCTCCTCTCAGTAGGGTTGTTTACAACACATGCAATTTCCGGTTAGCTTCTTAGCTTAGCCTCCTTCACACCGACAACACACACATGCTTCAGCAGAGGCCACGCCTTCTGCAAGAAATTGATTCTMTATGCAGCRAGTCCAGACCCTTGTACGAAGCAAAGTGAAGGACAGGGTCTGGTTTTAATCAGGCAAGTCCACTCTGGTCAGTCTGACTAAACGTGGGTCTGCAGATGGCGAGACTGAGAGGTTGGCAGCATTTTGTCTAAAACGCAAACACAAAATCTAAAAAATAAAACAAATTCAAAGAGATTTTAATATGAAACTGGATAAAGAAAACTGGTGAAGAAAAATGTACTTTAGTTCAGGTTTGAGCTGCTGACCCGTCAGCTTTAACAGCCCATTGGAAGCAGGCTTGACAAAACCTGAATTTTCTGTCACTCTGTCATGCAGCAGTTCTCAGTCAGCCAGTGGGATAATTGCTCCAAGTTTTATATTCTTACTACTGGTTTGGGATCCAAATGATCGGTCTGTCACTTTCATTGTATACAGTATAGATCATAATATTTTATCTGCAACTATTAGCTTAGCTTCTGAATTAGGACATGATAATTTTGTGGAACTAAAACTTATTATTTTCATTCGCTACCTTGAAAGGATGGTAATCATGTAACCATCCACCCATCCATTATCCATACCTTCTATAGCTTCTTCCTTTTAGGGTCACTAGTGCCCATATCCAGCAGTCACTGTGCGAGGGGTGCACACCCTGGACAGGTCACAAGTCCATCACAGTGCACATGGAGACAAACAACCATTCACTCTCTCACTCACACCTAGGGACTATATAAAGTTACCAGTTAACGTAACAGTCTGTGGGAGGAAGCCAGAGTGCCCAGAGAAAACCCATGCATGTACGGAGAGAACATGCAAAAGGTTCCCGGGCTGGGATTTGATCCGGTGACCTTCTTGCTGAGAGGCATCATCTCTACTAGCTGAGTCAACGTGCTCATAATCATGTAACTCCCCACTAAAATCTAAGTAAAATAACTTTCATTTGAGTTATTTTCCACAATTAAAGTTATGTCTCTGTTGTTTTATTTCCTATTTGACTGTAATAAATAATAATAATAATAATAATAATAATAATAATGTAAATGATGATGATAATAATAATAACATTATAGTAAATGTACCATCTCATCAGCATTTCATACATGAACTGTTCAGTGCACAAATATTTGATGTCATTTATTCTGGCCACATTCATCACAAACATTAGTTAGGGAGTAAACTCTGGTTTCAAATGACCTGCAGTTTTACAGATGGTTGCTTAAATCCAAAAAAGCTGCTTCTTGACAGAGTGATGCCGTCTCCTTCCCCTCCTCCTGCTGCGATCTCTCCTGCCCTCACTCTGCTSCTTGTGAGTGCTGCTGTACAAGAAGCAGCTAAAAGCACAAACTTAAGCTGGCTGGCATAWTATTAGTGCTGGCATGCTATTTGATATGGTAGGAATCTTATGTTAAATCCCCCCCAAGCATTAAATACAAACTCCCACAGCTTTGCACGAGTAAGAAAAAATTTTTTTTTCCTCTTTTTTATGTGTGTATGTATGTGTGTGCACGTATATCCACCTCACTTAGATCAGTTCTCAATGTTTGTGTGGTATGTGTGGGTGGAGAATTATAAGACTTAATGTTGCTGTCCCTGCAGCACTGCTTATTGTGTGGTAAAACCTGTTGCTGGTTAATGATTCTTAGYTTAGCTGATTAGTTTCTATGTAGATTTGCTTGAAAATGTAGTATTTTTCTACATACTGACAGATATCGTAATTTTATTGCTCAAGTGCTCCGAAACAGTTTCTGTAATTTTACAAACTCTTCACTATTCGACCCAAAAACCCAAGAGTTTTATAGAGTTTTCCTAACCCTCTTGCTGAAGTTAAAATATATCACTTGTATTAATGAACCATTGCTGTATGTGCAACACAAACAGTTTCTATGACTAGTTCACAATTTTAGTCATTTATCATAAATGTACGTCTTGTAACAATTATGGTAAAATGTGCAATCAGTGTTTTTTCTTCAATTTAATTTGATATTTGGAGAATATCTCAAGACCCTCATTTGGTGTTTTATGGCCCACAACGAGGTCCCATCAGCAACTTAATAAACTATTGCTCTAAGTTACTTTCTGTTGCATGTTCATTCAGAAACAGTGTGCCCTCTCTGCATTTCCCCTATGCTAGTCCTCATCAGTTTATTCCTCTTATGCATGAATCAATGCCACATATTGTGAGGAGAAATCAAATCTTTGCTGTTAAGCGGTTGTTTTAAATTTGGTGTAGAGTCTATTGTCAGACCTTTTCTGACTCTGAAAAACATTTAGAAAAAATATATTTTAAAAATCGCCAACAGAAGTTTTTCAACTTTTCTAGCCCCTCAAAACTGTTTAATAGGAAGTTTTAAGGAAGTGATGCTCATGACTTTGAAGCATAAGAATATGTTAAACTCCTGCCTGCATCTCCCTTCACCAGCAGTGAACTAGTCTGTTTTGTCTAATTTTTTTCAAAATCAAAGTGTAACCTTAAGACTTTGTGAAAAACATACACATCAGATATATTGAACTCTTGACTGCAATGAATTCAATTAATTGTTCAATTCATGAGTGGCGCTGACTCATGAGAACTGAATGAAGCTGTGTTGTCCTGCAGGTATACAGTAGGTGTAATAAAGTGTACAGTATTATGTGTTTTTTTTCTCCAGGTTAACCAGCTGTTTAATAAAAAATGTGTAATTTATATTTTGTAGCCATGGCGGTAATTGTGAGCTAAAAACACATGTTTGTTTTTCAGAAATACAAAGAATTTGAGCATGCAGTGCGGGTGGAGGAGATCGATGGGCTGCGACTGGTAAAGAGGTTGGCAAAGAACATGGAGGAGATGTTTCACAAGAAAGCCCAGGCTATGAAGGTACTGAGTCTTCCTCCATTATACTTAAAAGCAAAATTACTGCAGTTTTTCTCCTGTCACAAAGACAGTTTTGCTATAAATCTGTGACTCTTGGTGCCTACTGTATATCCAAGTTGTAGTGCAAGATTTATGTCTGAAAGGATCTGTCCATCTCACCACGTTGCATTTATGTTTATGGGAGTTTAGTTTGTGCACATTGAAACTTGAGGAAGATAATTTTCTAATCAATGCACACAACTTTTTTAAAGCTTGACATTTAATAATTTACTGTCAACAGTTTATTTGAAATCACTTCAAATGTGGTTTAAGTTTTGAGTCAAATGTAGCTGAGTTGTCTGGAGGAGGAAACACAGATGCTGCCTCAGTGACAGGTGGAGAAAAGAAAGAGATTTGTAATTTATACAAATGTGTTTAGAATAAAGAAAAAAGACATAACAAGAACGGCAACCGAGTCAAGTTTTCAACTCTCAGCTGACTTATTGTGAAACAGAACAATAAGGAATATTTAACCCTAAAGAGCCGTGCTTCATCTGCAGCTTCAAAAGTGTTTGCAGCTTTTTGTTTAACTGAGTCAATAATAATACTCATAAATATTGTTGGGAAGTTATTGTCTCAGGGATAAATTATAGGAAGACATTAAAGAATTAAAAAAATACTCCTTTGGGTTAAACAAGTTGTTTCTTTTTTAATTCCAGTGCAGACATAGGTTGTTGCTTGCTGTTGGGTAGTTGTATAGTATTTTGCAAATAAACTTAGCATAAAAATTAAGGAAATTTTTGTTTGGTAGATTATTTCTTTGTTGTGACAATGCTTCTTGGTCATACATCTCATACCATTAGAGAGATGAGTATGTGGGTTGTACTCTTGAAAGGTTTGACAAATCTTTGCCAAACAGCTTATTATGTTGTTGCTATTGACATTTGTTTTGAGCTTCTGGTTCCCCCAGGTGCTGCCAAACGGCACCTGATTGGCAGCACCTGTGACCCTGCTACAGTGGTCAGTATGTGTCTGCTCTAAGAATAGGCATGACATGTTTGACTGATTTGGATAGGGCTCATGCTAAAGGGCAGCTTCAAGCTGGTGTTCCTCAAAACCAAGCTGCAGCACTATTTAGCGTGAGCCCTACCATCTCCAACTTCCATATAACAGGGATGTCAGGTAGAGCAGACGTAATTGGCATCCTAAGAAGAAGACACCTCAAAAAGATTTTTTCCTCACCCTATAAGCACTTATGTACCTACCGTAGGTTGACATCTATAGATTTGCAGTCAAAGTTTGCAGGACGAAATGGCCAATGGCCTGCTGCGGCTGTGTATGGTTCATCCACATGCTACTTAGGCTCCTGTTTGGTAAATTAATAAATTGTTAAATTGCCAATATACTGTATCTTGTTTCTTCAAACTCCATCCAGTCCACCAAACACCAAATGAATAAATGGCAGAATAAATTGTTTGGCAATAGAGAATTTGGCAAATTTATACGTAAACCCACATACTCAGCTCTACTGCTCATCCCACAAATGCATGTTCCTTACAAATATGAAACTGTTTAAAGGAAAATAAATGCTTTCTACATTCTGCCCTTTACTACTACTCTCTTTGAGTTTTGAGGTATGAAAAAACAAACAAACAAACAAAAAACCCAATTGTGGCCATCCAACATTATCACATTTCATAAGGTCATGATATTCCTTTAACCTCTTTTAGTATCTGCTTTGTAACTTCACATGAACAAAAATGCCC